TGATGGCAGCATCCCCAGACCTGCCCACCACCACCACCACAGGGAAAGGGATGGCTCAGGGGCTGTTTTATTTTTTAAGCGGTATTTTCACAGGACCGCCAATCTGGCAGGTTGCACTGAGCTGTGGCAAGGGCAGACATATTTCAGGCTGTGCTTCGTCTTTTTCATATATAAATAAGGGAAATTTGTGTCTCTCTTGGGGTGGCATCAGTGTGCAGCTCCCACTAAGCCATGCACAGGTATATAATTTGGCCCCACATTTTCCTATTCCAGCAGCCACCGCTTGGCCTTGCAGGCATAGGTGTGGGCTGGGATGCCCTGGGCAAAGCCAGAGGCTCCTGGAAGCATCCTGGCTGCCAAATGCTCATTTCTGCTGCTGCAACCTCCAGATAGCAAGTGGGCAATTAGAAGCAGAGCAAAAAATCCCTCTGGCTGCACCAGCCATGCTGCATGGCTGCACTTGCTCCAATAGCCTCTCGTGTTCCTGCTGCTGGGTGCACTGGGAGCTTGCAGCAGTGACCTGGAGTACAGCACTTCCCAGCTGAAGGGGCTGAGCAGAGCTGTGGGTTTGCTCTGGCTATTTGTCCTTGCATTAGAGCCATGGGGATTCACACGAAGCTGGCCATGGAAGCGCAGTCCCTTACCCAGCCATCCCCTGCCCTTTCCCCAGCTGCACAGGAGCATGCTGCTCACCACCTCTGCTCCGTAAGCACGACCCAGGAGCTCCCTCCTGCTTTTCCAGCAGCTCTTTCCGGCACTTTTTAGGACCATCGCTCTGCACAGGGCAGGAGGCAGCCCTCATTTGGGCTTAGAAGGGTTCGCAGGGCAGGAATGAGCCGATGGCCCCGCGAAGACGTGGGGAGCAGCCCCCCCTGGAGCCAGCAGCGTGCTCGGGGGCTGATGGAGAGCCCGAGGGAAGCACAGCTGAGCCGTCACCTGTTGGAGCTCAGACAGCCACAGCTGCGCCCGCCGCTTTGAACACTCTGGATTAGGCAGACGAGTGCCCCGCACACACTTGTGCTCTGCATGCCAATGCCTTCTTCCTCCTCCTCCTCCTCCTCCTCCTCCTGCAGCCTCCCTCCTCCCAGTGCACTGCCGGAGCTGCATGCATGGCACAGGGTCTCAAACTGACAGAGCAGTGGAGGCACCTGCAATGAAGATAAGCTGACAAAACATTCAGTGCTTGAGGAGCTTCCTTTCTGCTTTTGGCCCTAGCGTGAGCAAAATGTGGGGTCTCCAGGAGGTGCCTCAGCTCATCCATATGGTTCATCACCACCTGAGCTGCAAAGTGCTGCTCGGAGGTCAGGATGTGCCCTCGGCCATTCCAAGAGGAGAGGGATCACTCTGGCTCTGGATTGTCAGATTTTTGCCTTTTTAAAGCTTTCCTCCCTATGCCATACTTCTGAAATCGCCCCATCTCGCTATCTGCTCCCCGTGCTCATGCGTTGGGTCTGTTTAAGAGCAGGGCTGTAACATTAACGAGATTTATGGCCGACTCTGGAGTGGAAGGGCAGAGAGCCGGGTGTTTTTTTCTTTTTCCTCAGGTGAAAGAAAACCTCGAATGTTAACTCACGAGACATTACAACGACTGCTCCTTCAATCCTTGATTTACGAGCTCAAATTTATGAGTTAAAAATTATTATTCCACTCGCATATATTTTTTCCCCTGGTCGTTTTAGTGCTTGTGAAAGGTGAGGGTTTTGACAGCTCCTGGAAACAAAAGCCTTTAATATCTCCCTGAGCGAGGCTCTCCCAGGCCAGAAGAGATCTGCCAGCAGCTTTTCCTCGCCGCCGCAGATATTGCTCTCTCCAGCCCTGGCTTATCCAAACAGAGAGGACTTTAGCAGGAGATAAGGAAGGGCTGATGAGCAGCGTCTGTCCTTCGTGCCTCCGGGATCCTCCTCCGCATCCGGAGTCAGGCTGGAGACAGCAGCTGCCACAAGGATGCCCGCCACAGTTTTGGTTTGGGGCTTTTTTTTTTCCAGGCTCTTTAGCAGGGGATATATGGGAGCCCTGCTTCTGTTGCTTGCAGCAAATGGATAAAATTGGGCATAGCACCGAGTTTTTAGTAAATAAGTTGTGTATTTCCCTAATGCCATGAGCAGCACACTGCAGCGAGCTGTGCCTGCTTGCCCTCCTCCTCCAGGGCAGCTCCAGGTTTCCCTGATCCCATTGGAAAACTTTCTGCTCCAAAAGAGCAGTCAGGCACTGTCGCTGCTGCACCAGGATGTGGTGGGGTCACCATCCTCAGAAGTGTTCCAGAACCACAGGGATGTGGCACTCAGGGACGTGGTCGGTGGGCATGGTGGGATCTGAGAGGGCTTTTCCAACCTGAACGACTGTGATTCTGTAATGAAGGACCCACCCCATCCCCAAGCAGTACCAGCAGCTCAGGCTGAAAGCGAGCAGCAGCCATTAAAAGGTGACATCCATGAAATGCCAAGGAGCAAATATATTCTCTTTAAAGCATGTGTCACTCAGTTTCTTAGAGAACCCAGGGATTAAAACCTTCATGGATCTGAGGAAACAGTGCCAGAGCCCCTGCTGCACTTCATCAGAGTACATTTTTGACAAAGCTTTTCTCATTCAATAACAATTTAGTTGACCAAAAACTGAATCCAAAAGGACAAGCAACTCTGTGGCATTTTTGTTGCATTTTCAGCATTTTTTCACGTCTGTTTGCCGTCTGCTGCCTTAGCAATGGGAAGGTGGTGGTGGTGATGTGCTGGAGGAAAAGTGAGAGCCCCAAAAAACAGCTGGGAGTGACGGGGTGCATCCCAGCCATGGTGGCTGCTGTCCCCATCTCACCATGCTGCAGAAGATGCTTCTAGACTTACTGGTCAGGAAAACAAAATGTTGGGGTTTGAGCTGTTGGAATGCCAAAGCAGAAAGGCTGTGCTTGAGCCGCTTGAGAGAGGAATATTTGGGAGTGGAATATTTGAGCTTTGTATGGACAGAGTCTGCAGGCACTTCTCCATGTAAGTCCTTATGGGGCCGGTCTGTCCCGGGGTGCATTTTTGTCCCATTCTCTGCCCATGGACAGACCAGGTGTCTCACTTACTGCATCCTGCTTCCTTCGGGGGCAAGAGGAGTTTGAGGCAGAACAAGTCCTGCTGGGTGTCCAGCTTCACGCATCCCTATCTATGCCTGTCTCCTCCTGTCCTCCCACAGAGCGCACTGAGGGATCCCTGGGATCCAGCACAGCCCTTGTGTTCTCTATCCACGCACCACAAGGATCTCTCCTGGTGATTCCTGCTGCTGGATGAGCTGAGGCTCAGGGCCGGATGATGTGAAGCTGTGAGCTGCTGAGGTCAGGTGTGGGCAGGAGGGCTCCAGGCTGGCTGTGCAGTCAGGTCTGAGCCGGGCCCAACACGTGCATCATCCACAGGAGCAGGCAGCCAGCGTTCCCACCGCGCGTGTCACGGTTCCCAGGATAACCAAGGCATCCATACAAACAAAACACAGAAACCCTCCGTCTCTCCGGAGACAAGTCACAAACACAGAGACAGACCAAGCCCATTGATGGAGCTGCACGCAGTGAATCACTCACCCAGCTGCAGCCGAAACAATTTGGGTCAAATATGCACTCTGGCAGAACTCCACTGCCTTATCTCGTGCTTTGCTTGCTGTACCTCAGCTCAAGGTTTGCTTTGCGGCGCTTTCAGCTGGCTGCAGAGAGCTCAGTGCTGAGAGTGGGCACTGCTTGCACTGTTACCTGCTTGGATGCTTTTATTCCTATTAGTGATGATGACATTTTCCTTCCTGGCCGACGTTCCCTGCAGCTGAGCACAGAGGATAGAGACATTCACGAGGAGCTGCACTGAACTCTGCCTGTTCCCAGGGGCACTGAAGAGCATTCAGACCACCAGCAGCTGTGGAGGTGGACTGGGACCTTCCCAGTGCGGGGCTGGGGCTGTGCCCACCTCCATGCAGGGCTGCACTGAGCTCCGAGCACAGCTCCTGCTCCATGAGTGTGGGCCCAGAGGACCTTCCTCCAAGATTACATCAGTAGCATGAGGATGCTGAGTGTACTGTCTGGGAATCTAGAAGACGAGGGCTGTTTTGTTGTGTTTTTTTTTTAATTTTTTTTTTTTTTTTTTTTTTTTTTTGAGATTATGTATATGATAAAATATGTTCTTCTGACTCTCTCTTTTGGGCTGCTTGCAGAAGGGATGTGCTGCAATAGGAATGTTGCGTGGTTCACCCATACCTGGGACAGTTTTGTCTGATGGGACAGGAGCAGGGCTGGGCTTGAGGCTTCCGCCCCGTTTGATCCCAGTTGTACAGATGGAAACCACAGGGAGGAACATACACGGTGCTGCCCTCTCTGCTGATGGGGTCATGGCAGGAGCTGGGCTGCAGTGGGATGCTGTGCTTGTGGGTACTACTGTGAGGATGCTGTAAGCAGCAAAAAGCTCAGCATGGCTTTATTTGTGCTGTGCAGATCTCCTTGTAGCTGTTTATGGAGGTTGTGGGTGCCCTATCCCTAGAAGTCCCTGAGGCTTTAGAAGGGCTCCGGGCAGCCTGAGCTTGGGGAGGGGGGGAAAGGAGGGGAGCAGCCAGCCCATGGCAGGGGTGATGCTGGGAGATCCCTTCCAACCCAACCATTATGTGATTGTATGACAGATTTCAATAGATCTGGGATGTAGCTTTGTACAACAAGAGAATGTGGTGTTTCCAGTTTCTTAGCATGGGATTTTACTCCATGATAGACAGTGAGATGGGAGAAGGCTTATTAGGACAAGCTGCTTCTCCCCAAGAGCGGTCAGGCACTGGCACTGCTGCCCAGGCAGGTGGGAGGGAGGGGTTAACGTCCCTGTGTATGGGAACTATTGAATCACAGCATCAACCACTGATTGAGCACCTGGGGAAAGGACCTGGTCAACACTGGGAGCAGAGGCAAAGGCAATTCAGCTGCGTGACCAGAAGGGGTGGAACCTGGCTGCAGCTCTCTTAGACCCCATTTAAGGGCTGACTGCCACTGGGGAGGGGTCTTTTCCTGGAGATCCCTCCATGGTGAAGCTTTCCCCTGTGAACCTTGAATCTTCTGATACAAGTAAGTGATTTTCTTCCCTTTCTTAATATCACCTTTGTATGGTGCTGATCCTTCTGTTGTTGCACCTCTGGTAAAACACCTTTTCATATTGATCTGTCCAATTGCTACACCCTGGAAGTGTTGAAGTGGAAGTGTGGCACTGAGGGGCATGGTCAGTAGGCATGGTGGGATGGCTTGGGGATGGACTGGTGATCTGAGAGAGCTTTTCCAACCAGAATGGTTCTATGATTCTATGTAGGAGCAGAGCAGTATAGTTGGAGCTGCATGAGGTGTGGGGACATGCAGGTCTTGGTGCAGCACAGAGTGAATGCAGAGAGATGAGGACACCCTGAAGGCTTTCCCTGCAAGGCTGGAAAAATGGGCTGAAGGGGGGAGAGGTAGAGAGGATTCAGATCTTTGATTTGAGTCCTGCCCTGGGCAGCTGGGGATTAGCTGTGGGGGTCTGCAGAAGGGGCAGAGCACAGGGCTGCCTTCACTCAGATGCATGGAGCATAGTTGAGCATGGGCCAGGCACTGGTGTGGGCTGCACAGCACAGATCCCTCCTGCTACGAGCAGCAACACTCCAGCTGGCAACACCTCCATAAAGGCTCAAAATGTGTCCTGCTTGGGCTTGGGGTGAGCTCTGGTCCCAGAAGGGGACAAGGGAAGGACAGCAGGTGGCCAGATTAGACCTGTATCAGTTCTGGTGTCAGCACAGTGCCATGAGTCCCAACCCTCCCGAGTGGAGGAGTGCAGGTCAGGACACATCCCTGTGCCCATTGGGTGGGCAGCAATGCTCAGTGCCTGGCCTGTGGGGTGCTGGGCAGCAAAACATCCCTACAAACCCTCAGATTTGTTCTCTTTCAACATTTCAGCAAGATACTGACATTTTAGCAGGGGGGAAACAGAAGAAAGTTGTCTGTGGGGATGTTTGTAGAATGGTCCCCAAGTACAGAGCAGGTGGGAATCGCTCCAAATATGTGGCTTGAACCCAAAGAAGCTAAAATAAGTAAACACACAGAAGAGTGAAAAGAAAGAAAAGCACTTGGCTGTGTTCTTCATGGTTCCTTCCCCCTCCTTTCTGATCGTCTCTGTCTCGTCCCCATTGGTAGAGGCGATAAGTGAGGATTTCACCCATCGTTTCAAAGTAGTGCAGAGGAAGAAAGCAGCCTTTGTGGAGGGGGTTCTGCAGTTCTCTGTTCTGGGAAGGTTGGAAGTAGTACAAAAACATCCTTTCTCGTAATATTGTGTCGCTTCCAGCTCTAAGCTCCGCCGTGACCCAGATGTTTAGATGCTGATGCCGAAAAGGAAAATAAGAGCCACGGAGAGAAAGCCAAGGGAGTGGGATGCGGTGCAAAATGTGCATCCAGAAACCTGCTCTGAGCTGGGTCTGCTGCCTGGCTTTTGCAGTCAGGGAAAGGAGTTGGGAAAACTGAGACACTGTGACTTAATCTTAACTCAATGGGCACTGCAAGGACTGCTGGTCCAACTGCACATCCCCTTCCATACAAGTGCACAGCGTTGCTGCAAGACTGGATGTTCAGCCTTGAATGTATTCAGCGTTTGTTACCATTGAGATGTTTTTCTGCCAGTTCTCCTTTTATCACCTCTCAGTCACTGAGTACTGCTTTCTTGACCTTGCCACAATTATCAGTGCGTGTTCATCGTTTTGCTTTTACAGCTATCTTTATTCAAAGGGAGGGAGCTCCTTGAATGGATGTGGGGGATAACTGATCCTGCATAGCTGATTAGGTATGGAAAGCTGAGTGTGAAACTCTTCTTTGTTGTCTATATCTTTGTTGTCTATATTCTATGATCTGATTTTTGAGTGGTCCTGTGTGGGGCCAGGAGTTGGACTCAGTGACCCTTATGGGTCCCTTCCAACTCGGGATGCTCTGTGATTTTGTGATTCTCTCTCATTATCTCAGCAAGAACTTCCTCCCATGTCTGCTCTCTTTGTTCTGCCCCAGCTCAGGCTGCTGTGTCGCTGCTGGGGCTCCATAGGGATGGAGTGACTCAGGACGTGGGGATGCCCTGTTTATCTCCAGAGATATGCCCTGTTTCATGCAGCCCTTTTGCACCTCCTTGCATGGGTGCCCAGTGCAGGTCTCCTTCTGTCCCCATGTACCCTCCAACCTCCACAAAGACCTCACTCCTCACCCCTCCCCCCCCCTTTCCCCAGTTGTGCTTAATTCAATTTGCTTCTCCCTAACCAGCTTCCCATAGTTTGACCATTAACAAATGGACTTGGCCGGAGGCCTCGGGGACCATTTGCATGATAAACCTTCTGCATCAGCATGAATGCCAGCCCCAGGCACTGGCAAACCCAGGGCTGTGCCAGCATCCCTTGCCCAGCACACTGCAAGGAGCCAAATCTGCACTGCACCGCTGCCAGCTCACAGAGAAAGGGGTGAAGGAGCTGCACACAAAGAGCAGTCTATAGCCTGGCTGGGCACCTGACACTGGGAGGAGGGAGAGCCGAGACGTGCTTAGCTCTGATAATCCCCAGTTTGAGTTTAATATATATATTATTTTTTTAATCAAAAGCACAGCAACAGCTGGTGCTGAGGCTTTCCAGGAGATGAACTCATGAACAACTGTTCAAAATAACTTTATTCGTACTGCTATTAGATCAGTCCACTGGAGAGCAACCAATTATTTTTGATTACTCAAAGCAGATAAGGCAGCTCCGAGAACCACGGCTGCAGGGCACGGCCCCCAGCACCTACGTGAGCCCCTGGCATCCATGTCAGCCCCCAGCACTGTGGGTCTGAGTGTTTTGCAAGGGGGCTTTGCAGACATGAACAGTGCAGGCACAGAGGATGCAGCGGGCACACACATGTACCACAGGCAAGCTGGTGGGGTTTGCAGGCAGGTGTGTGCTCTTTCTGCTTAAAAACCAATTAGCAGGCTCTTTAGCCTGCCTATGGCTGGGCTGTCTGTCTTGCTTGCAACCCCTCAGAATGGAGGCAGCACTAGGAAGCGGGGTGGTTGAGCAGGGCAGGTCCTGGCAGCTGGCACAAGCCATGCCAGGTCCTGTTGGTGCAGCAGTGCTGGCAGCAGTCAGAGCAGGCAAGGAATTGAGAAGCTTCCAAATTATTTTTTGTCATCTGTTTGCACAAAGTCCATTCTCATGGTGGGTGAGGAATGGAGAAGGAGGCTGATGTTCCATCACACTGCAGAGCTGAGCTGTTGGGTGCATACAAAGCTGGGCTGTTGGGGTGCAGGCTCTGTGCAAGCACCCCTCTGCCCCAAGCAGGGCTGCACATTTCCATCCCTTTCCATACTGAGCAGGGCTCCTCCATGAGGCCCCTGTGTTGCCCATCACTGGGCACTGATGTGGGGTGGCATCACTCTGCTGTTGTTGCACAATGCATTTGACTTTTATTTGCAGCGCACACACTTGCTTACCCTACTCAGGAATAAAGTGCAGTTGATCAGCTGAGGCCAGTGCTGGAGATCTGTGCTTTCCAGCATGACATCAAGCAAACCTGAGTGTGCGAGCTGCTTGCCAGCAGAGTGCTCTCCCAAGGGAAGGAAAGGTGGAAGCTGAAACACTGCAAACGGGGCTGCAGGGAACAGCCTGCACTGGCCAGGAGACAGACAGCATGAGCTAATAGGTCTTTTCCATTTCTCGCTCCTGTGATTCAAGAAGTCCTGTCACTGGGGATTGTTTAAAAATAGGCTGGATGAAACACATGGTGGTGGATGGACAGATCAGCCCTGCCTTGGCTGGGGGACAGGTTGCTCTAACGGGACTTTTCCATCGCGCCGTCCCATGATTAATCAGGACAAGAAAAGAAGTAGGAAATTGATAAACACAATAGTAATTCCATCCAGCGTTTGCCTTAGTCAGGTTATTGTAATCCTGACATCATGTCTTGAAAAGAAGACTGGAAATAAATCTCCAGCAGATAGGATCTGTTCGTGGGGGCTGTGCAGGGCAGCAGGAGGGCAGGGGTTAAACATCATGGAGCTGTTTGTCCTGGGTCCCCAATCTGCAATGGGGCAGTTGGCTGCCAGGGGGCACACAGTCACGTGCAGTGTCTGCACGGTGCACATCAGAGTAGGTCTGTCCCTCTGTCACTGCCGTGGGTGGGTGAGTGTGAGCCACGTGGGAGAGGTGCTCTGAGCCCATGAACCCCCACCCCTTGTTGACCTCACCAGGGTCACAGAGATCCTGGTGGAAGTCATTGTTTCAGGGAGGGAAGTGAAACATTCTCCCTCTTCTTCTCCTAACAGATATCTATTGGTGAAAGGAAATTGAAGAAAAATCACACCTGAAACAGAGAAACCCAGAGCGAGAGACGCAGCTCTGCTGTACACAGGAAAGCTCAGAGCATCACCAGCCCAAGAAATGCCCTGGCTGTGTTCATACCCAGCACAAGGCTACGTGAAGGGGAGATGCCCTCAGCTTTCAGGATGGGAGATGCTGCAGATCCTCAGGATGTTTTGGGGTGCTGCAGTGGGACAGGAGCTGCAGAGCCAGCATGAGGTTCTGCGGGGTGGTGCAGCGAGGTGGGGGGAAGCTGTCTGTGCACGAGGACTGCAATATTGAGACAGAGGCTTGGCTGTTGCACTTCTTATGCAGTCATGCTGCAGCTTAGCAAAAGGAACTTCTATTATTTTTATGATCAATTTAGTTCTGCCTGTTGAGAAGGAGAGTGATGCCCTGCACTGCTGCTTGCGGCGGGCAGCACTGCCCTCTAGTGCGGCTGTATCTGTTGGCTGAATGCTGGGGTTGGTGTTTTTTTTATGTTTCTGGTTTCTTTCCTTGTTTTTGGTTTTTGTTTTTTGTTTTTTTTTCTTTTGGTTGGTTTTGGGTTTTTTTTAGTCTGTTTTTGTTTTTTTTGTTTTTTTTTTTAATGGAAAAATAAGGGTCACTGCTACAAAGGCTGAGGGAGCTGGAGTTATTCAGCTGGGGGAAGGAAGGCTCCAAGGAGAGCTGATTGCAGCCTTTCAGGAGCTTATAAACAAGAGGAGGAAGAACAACTTTTTACATGGGCAGACAGAGATAGGACAAGGGAGAATGAATCATAGAATCATTCAGATTGGAAAATACCACTAAGACCATCAAGTCCAACCATTAACCCACCTCCACCACGTCCTTGAGCAGGAAGATGTAGCCAGGGGAATCAGCAAGGGATGATTAGAGACCCTCTTCTGTTTCCCAGCTTAAGTATATCTGTGCTTGCAACTTCCTCAGAGGATGAGGAATGATAGAATTGAGTTGGAAGGGATCTCTAAAGGCCATCTGGTCCCATTCCCTGCACTGAGCAGGGACACCCAGAGCTCCATCAGTGCTCAGAGCCCTGTTCAGCCTGACTGTGGGATGAGGCACCGCCACTGGTCTGGGCACCCTGTGCCGTTCCTCACCACCCTTAGCATGAACAATTTCCTCTTTATATGCAATCCAGGATAAAGCAGTGAGGCTGTGAGTGTACAGAGGCCTACAGAGCCGTTGGGCACATCCCAAACCACTCCTCCTGGCACTGTGCTGCCAGGTTCTGGGGCATTGCACATGCCATAAAGCTCTGCAAAGCACTCACCATTACCAGGACTGTGTTTCAATGAGCTGTGGTTACTCCTAGACCATGACATTTAATTACACTGCAGAATAGCATCACCTGCCTGGCTTCTCTAGCTCAAAACCTGAGAGGGATGTGTCCATTCATCCAGCACCACCCAACCTGGGCCATATTCTCCAAATATCCCTACTGCTTGCTGCCATAACCAAATAAGATGATAGTCTGCTGAGAAGTCTGTGCTTTCTGCCCATGGGAAAATCATGGCAATGGAGCATTGGGTGCTCCAAGGACAGCACCATCAGAGACAGCCAGTGTGAATTGCTCAGCATCCCTCTGCTCCCCTCTCTGGAGGTCTCTGAGGAGTTCAGATGCAGATGTTCAGTAACACCAGGACATGCAGAGCGTTGCTCACGTTCGTGGCTATTGGCGCTGCTCAGCCACGCACATGGTTATTTTCCTTGGCCCCGACAGAGAAATGAGCTCCTCAAGGACTTTTCATTAAGCAAAAATTTATGAGAGAGAAAGAAAATCATGTTTTACTGTCTGAGGTCTGAGCCGATGCTGTTTCTGCAGACGTTTTCGTAACGCAGCTTGGCAAGAGGCGAGAGAACATCTCCAGTGGAACAGGAATTTTGTGGGGATGCTGGGGGCTGCTTGTGCCGGTCACTCAGTCCCCATAGGGGCACTGCCCCCATCGAGGTCTGTCCCCCCGGAGCCGCAACAAGAGCAAAACACCCCGTGAAAAATAATGTGAGCGTGATGTAAAGCGTCGCTGGGATTTGATGCTAATTTTAGTGGTCACCTTGGCTGCGTTTAAGGAAGTTGCCGGTGCTGCCAAGAGCGAATTTACCTGATGATGAATGAGGAATCAGAGCATAAAATAAATAAATATCAGCAACACCTTTTTTTTTTTCGTGCTTTTTTGGCAGGTCGGTGTCATCCAAGGTCAAACATTTGTGCATTAGGAGAACTACTGCCAGAGCTCAGAGCTCTAAAATCCTTTCTAAGTGAGGAGCAGCGTCCTTGAGGGCTAGACTTAAAAAAGAAAGGCTGAACTGCAGTCTCCCAGAAACTCTTGCCATTGGCTGAGTTTTCACATAGGTGTTAATCTTCCTTCTTTGTACTCTTTCTCAGGCTTTGAAAGAGTGTGCTGGGAAGAATTCTGTGCCTTCCTCCTTGAGATGCAGCAGGATAGAGGGGCCATGGTCCTGTAAGTGAGGTCAGACATTGAATTGTGAGCTGGGGGGCACACAATGCTCTAGAGGAAACTTCTCCTGTTCATGGGAAATCTTTCTGAGCAGTTGGTTTACTGCCCTCTAAAACATTAAAAAAGTGGGATTTTTTTTTTTTCAACAAATGCAACAAATAGCAGCATGCAGGAATGGCATCCCTAGCTCATAGCTGCCCAGTGCTGCAGTCTCCCGCACATCCCTCCAATGCACCTTTCTGCTGTCTGAAGATGGATCCTGGGCTACGGCCCTGGGGATGCACAGCTCTCCCAGCAGTTTTATGACTTCTTTTAACTGCTTTGTCTTCCCAGGGACTGGGAGGGACTTGAGAACCACAGAATCATAGAATGGTTTGAGTTGGAAGGGATCTTTAAAGGCCATCTGGTCCAACTCCCAGCAATGAAAGGGGCACCTACTGCTCCATCAGGTGCTCAGGTCCTGGTCTTTTACAGGCTGGCCTTTCAAGATGTGCCTTTTATTATTTCCCACCCATCCAAATAGAATACATAAGGTTACAGAAATAACCCAAACTACACAGGAAGGCAGAGGGAAAGGTTGCATTATGTGAAGCATTATGTGGAGACAGGGCGCAGGGATGCGTAGGAGCCCTCAGAAAAAAATGATAAATGGAATCCGTAATTTTTACTGGGGAAGGAGCAGATTATGGGTGAGGGAACAAAATAATAATAAAAAAAGCTTAAATTAGCAGCGTGGCTTGATAGCTGGGAGCTGAAAGTTTTTCTGCTCATATATAATGCACATATCTTGTGGAACATGACCCAGCACAGAGCATGGAAATTACCTGCAAAAAGGCATTCTATGAAACCATATTAGAGTGGACTCTCCCTACAAGAGCTTCAAAGATGGATATCCAACTTTGTCGTTGCTGCACTTTGATTCCTATCACTGCTGAACCACATCCCACAGCAAGCACCTGTGGTGCTGCTGTGCTTTAGCATGTCCATATATTTCATAGAGAAGGGATAAAAGTCACAGTGAAGGGCCAGTACATCTTCTACGCCCAATACAAACCCAGTGAGACACTCTGTATTTCTCCCTATGAACAATCTGGATGTTTTTTGGGCAGCTGCCCGTTCTTGCACCCATCCAGCAAAGCTGGGCATTGGTCTCCATCTTATTGCCTTAGGCTATGAGGTAATGCACTGCCTCGTGCAGCCACTGGCATTTACCCAGGAAAAGATGCAATGTGCCATGCAACAGCACTGCAGATGGATCCAAGACCCTCCATCACTGGACATGTGCAGGAACATCACAGCCAGAAGGAGCAATGTCACTGCCAGAATGTACAGCTTTGAAGAAGGGATGCCCCTTGCCATCCCAGTGCCAGCAGGCATCTGGCTGGGATCTGGCCTGGACCTGAGTGCCAATGGGACAATGCACAATCTGCAAAGTCATCAGAAAGTAAAGTGTTGCCTTAGAGAGGTGTTAAACCAGGACAGCTCACCCATGTAGGGAGTGATGGCAGAAGGACAGCCCAGAGGAGGCCAAGGACTGGATGGAGGCTTTGGTGAACCGACAGCAGAAGTGGCAGTGGGGACAGTCTCCCATCCACACAGGGCAGCCAGTCCCTGCCAGACTCAGGCTGTAGGCTCCAGATCTCCACAGACACATCGGCACCAGACCCTTGGCTCACACAGAGCCCCCCTTTTCCCTTGGTCCGCATCTCCATAAGATGAGCATCCCTGGAGGGATTTGCTGTGTGCCTTGAAATCACAGTGACTCCAGGTCTGCTGGATCAAAGGAAAGGAGTGGGAGAGGTGTGAGCATCTCTCCATGACACATTTCCACCCACCACGTTCCTCAAAGAACCAGTTTGCTGTTCCCAAGACTCATCCTGACAGCCAGGTTTTTTCTTTAAACCCAAGGGTTTCCTTGAGTTTGAGTCCGTCTACCGATCCCTTCTGGACACCAGAATTGCCTCCTCCAGCCAAACTTCCCTGTTAATTGTCCTCAGGATTGGTTTGGAAAATTACATAAGCCCTGGGCTAGGGCTGGCTGCATCTCTCATCCCAGTGCCTGAGGCTTCGTGGGGCAAGAACTAAAGAGCTGCGAAACGCAGAGATATAACAGATGTTGACATGTAGTGAAAATACGAGACGCGGGAGCCTAAGATAATAAATCTGAAAAATTAACACGTAGGAGAACGAAAAAAGGAGCAATATGTTTTGGTAATCATTCTGAACTGCTGAACCCTTCTCCCGCAGTTCAAAAATCTCTGGTATTAAGCAGATGTCATTCAACTGATGATTAACACATTACCGAATTTCTCCAGTCGTTTAATAAAAGTTTTACATAACATGCAGGTAATTGCTTCCAAATGTCAAGGTAACAATGTGGGCTTCTATGGATGGCATTGTTTCCAGCCATCAGGTGAAACCCCTCTATCAGGCGAAGTCCTGCACTGCCCAGCTGCTTTTCCTGTAACTGCTATTGCAGAGACAAAGGAACGGTCAGGGAAGATCAAAAGCCTTCGATCTGCAGCCAGCAGGCCTTGTGCTCTGATGATGGGGCATTGACATGTGTCTTTTTGGTTTTTATCCCCTTTTTTTACTAGGTCTTGCTGCTGCTGGATGCAATAGGTGGTGGAAAAGGTGAATGCAAGCAGGCTGAATGCGAGCTACAGGCAGCAGGGATGGGTGATGCTCTAATAGGCTTGCAGCCACCAGCCCATTGCTGCAGGAGCTCCTTCCCTATCCCAGAGCCCTCCAAGCTCAAAACATGAATTTCCCCTCCATGGGAGCAGGAAGAATCCATCCCAGTCAGGTTCCTTGCTGGAGCACTATTCCTGTGTGCAGCTTAGTACTCACGCTGGTGCAGGACCCTGTCTGTTATTGCAGCATTGCTTGCAGAGAGGTGAGAGAGTGATGGATGCCTGAGGCTGGGGAAGGCCAGCAGGCAGAAAAGTGTGTTCAGGCTCTGTAAATTGCTATCTGGTTGTTCCCAGGGCTGCAAATGAGCTTCCCAAATTATTGGAGCTGGGGAACAGGATGCATTTTGATCAACCAATCTG